AGCCCGGACGGGGCGGGGCACCCGGGGCGCAGCGCCCCCTGGCCGTGGGGCCCGGCACTGCGGCAGCTCCGACCCCGCCTCGCGTCCCGCCCGCGCCCCAGCGGCGCGAACACATCGAAGGCGCCGGGGACAACGAGCACGCGGAACGTGGTCAACCGCGCTTGCGACGTAATAAACAGACTCGGAATGTGAGGACTCGACTTGCCCGCGTTCAGATCGGCAGAGATGATGATGGTACAGATCACGCTTGGTGCTGGTGAGGGTGTGGTGACATGGTCACGAGAACACGATGTGCACGGAGTGCGAATTGGTGGCAGGCTTTGGGGAAGGCAATCAGAAGACACATCAGGAGTCCTAAAAACCGACCGTACCCTCTGGGAAATAGTTAGAAACACAGGCACTTGTTTGTCACAGTCCGGCTCACAGTGTAAAAGTGGAGAAAGCCAATGGCCATGACCAAGTTCAATGCTGGTGCAAACACGTGACGGCGTATGATGCGATCACTACAATCCCGATTTTCGAGAATATCACTCTGGGAGATACACGTGCTCGGTGCACTGTGACTCAGCCTGCTGGGAATGCCTTATTGTCTTATGCGGGTAACTGTCTTTGAATTCTGGGGAAAGTATGAAATGATATGGGTTATTAATTCTATTAATAGTTTAAAGCTAAACTTCGTGATAAATTTAAGAAACATTTGACTATGTTGGTATGGGTAAATAAAATGTTTAAGATAATTTAGTATATTACAATATAAATAAATGGTTTCCTAGTCCAACTTAAAATGTGTAATCAAGTAATTCCTTTAGACATATTTAATTGCCATGAAATAAATGATTTAACTTATATTTAATATTATAAATATATATAAACTTTACAAAACATAATTTAACACATATAATTCAATTTAAGATGAAAGGAATATGAAAGTAAGTTTAATTTACTATATTTATGAGAGTTATATAGAGTTTTGTTACATAATTGAAGTACTTGAAAAGAAAGTCAAATATTCAGTTTGTAAAAGTTGCTTAAAATTATTAAGAAAGACGGGGCCGGCCCGGTGGCGCACTGGATAGTGCGCTGCTTGGGAAGCGCGGCGGCGCTCCCGCCCGAGGGTTCGGATCCCACATGCGGACCGGTTCCCGCTCACTGGCTGAGCAAGGTGCGGGAGCAACGCCGAGGGTTGCGATCCCGTTGCCGGTCCCCGGTCCGGTACGGGGACAACACTGAGGGTTGCGATCCGTTGCCGGACATGGAAAAAGAAAAAAAAAAAAAAAAAATTATTAAGAAAGTCAAATTAGGTAATGGTAAAAGCTTCCCTTATGGTGATTGTGAAATTTTATTAGGTTTGTAAATAGTTTAAAACAATATGTAAATTGAATTTAAAAGGCTACAGGCAAGTAGATTTGTGGATTTGTAACTTTACTAAAATAAAGAGACCCTAGCAGTCCCATTTCTTTGTACAAAACTGACCTCAAAGGTTCCTAGACTGCTTTTGAAATGGAGACAAAGGTGGAACATCCATGGGATCTAAAATGTGTTTTTTTTCTATATAAAATACTGTTCAAATACCACAACATTTACTTTACCTTAATGGCAAAAAACACAAGAACAATTGAAAATGGATCTCCAGATTAAGTCTCTATAGCCAGTGAATGAACAGGCCCCAAGAGACGTGACCAGAAACCATCCTTAGTTGCTTTCCACTGTCTCTTCAGTAGTTTTTCTGTGGGGAAAGTGATTTCCCTTGCCCCTGGGTGAAAATTAAGGCAGTCCTATAGTTTTTCTGATCACACTGGGGTAATAAAAATTCCCCAAATTGTAAACAGTCTCAATTTATATAGTCTTTAATCTTAGAATGTTCAATTCCATGTGATACTCAGAACCTCAAACCGCATTTAAAGTAAATCCTATCTCCTCCCTCAGGCAGCATCTGATATGGGCTGTGTACATGTATGTGGTGGCAGTGGGGAGTGGGGAAGGGACAGCCAGTTTCTCTTCTGTTTGCCTCACCTAATGTTTCTCAGCTTTCCAAACTTATGAACTGATTTCTGACCCTTCCAGGGCCAAAACAGAGAGGAGAAAACTTCTTCCTTCACTGGTTCTACCCAAGATGTCTCACCCTCGGGGCCTAGCAGGTGTTTGAACCTGGCACTTACCCTATTTTTTTTAAGCGCCCTCACTTGGAACATTCTATTTTACTGGCCATGACCCAGCAAATGCCCTCTAATTCCCTATTGCCCATGCCCGTCTCAATCTCCAGTGTCTTATGGTTTATCACCAGTGCTATGATCTGAATGTTTATGCCCCCCCACCACCCCCCAAACAATTTTTGTATTGAAATCCTATCCGCCAAGGTGACGGTGGTAGGAGGTGAGGCCTTTGGGAAGTGATTAGGTCATGAGTGTCGAGCCCTAATCAGTGTGGTAAATGAAATGTCCTTATAAAAGAGGCCTGAGAGAGACCCCTCACCCCTTCTGCCATGTGAAGACACAGCAAGAAATGGAATCTGCTGGCACCTTGACTGGGACTTCCCAGCCTCAAGTACTGTGAGAAATAACTTTCTTTTTTTTATAAGCTACCTAGTTTATGGTATTTTGTTATAGCAGACCGAACAGACTTAGACAACGGGTTTTCCTGTCCTGAGCCTGTGAGTCCTTCTAGATGGCCATGTGGGGATGGGATTTGGTACAGAGAATTCAGTGCTTCCAAATCACCCAAAGGGCTGGAAGAGCAGACTCTCAGCTGGGCCATCCCCATTGTAACTCCTAGAACCACCACAGAGCTGTCCCTTGTGCTATATTCAGAAACTGGAGCGCCAGGAGGCTGTCACTGGAGCTGCTCACTGTAAGGACATGCCACCTTAGGTGCTCCCTAGGAACCTCCCAACCCCCCACAGTCAGCCACAGCCATGTTCATGTATTAGTGTGCTTGGGCTGCCATAAAAGAATACCACAGACTGGGTGGCTTAGACAACAGGCATTGCTTTTCTTGCAGTTCTGGAGGCTGGAAGCCTGGTGTCAGGCTGCCAGGAGGGTTGATTTCCCCTGAGGCCCCCCCTCCTTGGTGTGCAGATGGCACCGTTGTTCTTGCCCTGTGCTCACATGGTCTTGCCTCTGTGCGTGCACTTCCCTGGTGTCCCTTCTCATACGGACACCAGTCTTACTGGACCAGGGCCCCACCCTCATGACCTCATTTAACTTTAATTACCTGTTTAAAAGCCCAATCTTCAAATAGGACCTCAACACATGAACTGAGGGAGGGAGGGAGAAACAATTCAGTACAGAACTGTCCATTGGGTCTGTACTGGCAACACACAGACACCTCCTGCCCTGTATCTTGATACCCATGAGACTGGGGACCAGACACTGGCATTCTGGCACAGAAAAATCCTATGCCTACAGGATGTGCCTTCCAGCAGGAGCATGGCTTCCATCCCCCTCTGCCCTACAAAGCTCTTGGGTGTGCACCTGATAAGTCTAAATTATTTGCTCAATTTCCTCCAGTAGCCCTGGGAGGCTGAAGCATGTCATTTTTACCACCGAGCCTCCCACACTGGAAGGACGGGGAGAAGGATGCTGAGTGACAATTCACAACATTCACCACCACCTGAAGGGATCTTTCCTTACCGATGAGAGTTAGGAACCTGCCCTCCCAAGGAGCTAGGACATTTGAGAGCTAAGATTCATGAAAATATATCATCAGTCATTGTGTAAAAAAGCATTTAGAGGCCCTCAGAGGCTTAGAAATAATTGTTTATTTAAAATAACTTGCATAGAAACGGTTACAGATATTTAATTGGAAACAAAGTTTCTATTTGTAGACATAGAAAGACTTAATGTTTAATCTTTTGTCAATAAACATGTGAATTTAGAAAGAGAGAGAGAATCTGTATGGACCTGAAGTTGTATGAATTAAAGTTGTTTAAAACTATGGGTCTATTTTTATAGTATAGATTTAGACTCAAGAACAAATATATCTTTGGAGCTGATAAGAACTGGTTATAAACAATGAAACCGACAGGATAACAGGTTTAATTTTCTAAGGACTGTAACTTAAAAGAGGTAAGGGCAGTTCTGAATCTGGGCTAAGCCTCAGTTTTTGAGAAGCCTAAAAAAGGAGGGTGGTAAGCCACTACCTCTTGCTAGGTTAAAAAAAGAAACTATTTTTTGAAAGATTATTTTTAATTTGGGGCCCTCTGTACTAAATACCTTTTAGTTCAAAAGATGATCATAATAGATGTCAGAATAGTAGAAATTTAAAATTTTCATTTACGTTTTTAAGTATATTCTTAAAATAGTACATTTCTGTGGTAATCATACAGGTCCCATAGAATGCAAAATTTGGAATTTCAGGCACAGTACATTTTTATTTCAGCTAAGGGATTGGATTTGCACTCCAAGTAGAAAGGGCAAAGTCTTGGGGTGAATACAGTGTAAACAATGGATTTCAGTTAAAGGGTATTACAACTGAAATTTGCTACAATCATAAAACAAGAGTCTTCCATACTGTATTGTTTCTTACTGTAGAATCTGACAAATTTTTTAAATTTTGTCTCATCTTTTTCAGAGCGCACACGCTTCTTCCTGTTGGTGGCTCCCAGGTGGGCTGACCATTGAGACCCTCCAAGAGTTAGCTGGGCCATGGCTGGGCCTGGCCAGAGCTCAGATCAAATCGTGTTCAGCTCTGGTTGGCTCAACCTTCATACTTCTGGGCCGCCACTGTCAAGGGCCCAAGTTCTTTGATCTTGTGGGTATTTGAGCTGGGTGGGGACTGAGCAAAGTGCTCGACTTTGGGTTGAGCTTTGGCTTCAAGTCCAGCAAGGCCCTGGCATGGGCCGCTGGAAAAGGCGTGAACAAGTGCCCGCTCTCTGCCTCCCTGGCTTCCCGGAGGGAAGGGCAGAATCCCAGGGCTGCATGATTGATGCATTTGTTTATTTATCTTATTAGGGGCTTTTCTAGATTCCAATCTATCCTGCCAGACCATACTGTCATGAAGGGCTTGTCTGGCTTCTCCTCGGCCTAGAAGAGGCATCTTTCAGAGCCAGGTAGCCCACGTTTTGCCCACCTGCACCCAGATGGGTGACTCGTCCAGGCATGAGAACTGCCCGGCTCACTGCTGGCCCATGTGAGAGAGGCCTTTGCCTCTCTAGAATCCTGTTTTTATTTGTGTGTGTACGGATTTGTATCTGGGGTTATCACCAGATTGAAAAGTCTTTTGAATCATTCTACATCAGAGACAGAATCAGAAGTCTTCTGTGGACAAAGTTTTAGAGCATAATAGCTAACATTTAAAATAATTCTTTAACAATATAATGTAATTATATCCCAGTTGTTCTGTTTATCCAAAAGCCACTGAAGATTTAGAAAACTACTGAGCTATCTGCCCTTAGTAATTTTAATAATAGAAAAATATATGTGTCAAGAGATAAGGTCGGAGTTATGACCTTATGAGTTGAAAGAATATTTCTAACAACATCTGAAAACCCTGCATTAGTATGTATTCTCCATTGTCAACAATATGCCATTCTCTCTCTCTATATATATATTCCCCTGGAGGTAGATTAAGATATCTTAGTAACTAGTACTGTATTTAGAAAATAGCAGCAAGGAAGACTGTTTTGGCATATATTTGTTGTAAAGCTAAATAAATTATTGTAATTTAGGCCTGTGGTTTGATATGACAACAATTAGCGTGCATACAATATTAATTAGAAGGGAACGTTATCATACTTGACAGGAACAAAAAACTTGAAGCTGGGGTGTGGGAAGGAAGCAGATAAATTGAAAAACTCTCATATTAGGGTAGGATTTAGTACCATTAAATTTTAATTGGATACATGAAGCTGTGGTTCTAAATATATTAATAGAAATTGAACAGTAGAAATCAGAATGGCTTTGTCCAGCTATTTACACACCTATATAAATTTGTAGGTGAGCCAGACAGTGACTAAATGAAATTCTTATTCAGTGTTTTGAAGATTGAACTGTTAGGGTATTTCTATTGATCTTCATGATGTGAACTACTAAACTGACTTACTCTTTTGCCAGGGGCTAAATATAGACACTAAGTAGAAAGTAGAAGCTAAAACCCTAAGAATTCAACTGTCAAACTGAAAATGAACTGAACATCTGAACAGACTTCTGAACAGACTTCTGTAACCCACAGAGTGAGGAATAATTTCAGTGTACTCTAGACCAAAGTAATTGTACTTTAGATCCTTTAGTGTACTCTAAGGACAAAAGCAAGGACAAATAAAAATTGAAATTACACTTAGCAGTTTTACAGTTAGTATTAATACAGTATCACTATTTTTGGTCTATTTCTTTTATTGGCAAGAAAAATAAATGGGTGATTATGTTAGCTTTGTTATGAATTAGGAGCTTTGGAGTGACAATTATATGAGTCATCTACTAAAAAAAAAAGGCACAATTATAGTTTGATATAGGATTAAGAATTTAAATGCCATGGGTGTTAAGTAATATCAGGACTGAATTGTTAGCAGTTTTACAGTTAGTATTAATACAGTATCACTATTTTTGGTCTATTTCTTTTATTGGAAAGAAAAATAAATGGGTGATTATGTTAGCTTTGTTATGAATTAGGAGCTTTGGAGTGACAATTATATGAGTCATCTACTAAAAAAAAAGGCACAATTATAGTTTGATATAGGATTAAGAATTTAAATGCCATGGGTGTTAAGTAATATCAGGACTGAATTAAAAATGGACTGAGCTATCTGCCCTTAGTAATTTTAATAATAGAAAAATATATGTGTCAAGAGATAAGGTCGGAGTTATGACCTTATGAGTTGAAAGAATATTTCTAACAACATCTGAAAACCCTGCATTAGTATGTATTCTCCATTGTCAACAATATGCCATTCTCTCTCTCTATATATATATTCCCCTGGAGGTAGATTAAGATATCTTAGTAACTAGTACTGTATTTAGAAAATAGCAGCAAGGAAGACTGTTTTGGCATATATTTGTTGTAAAGCTAAATAAATTATTGTAATTTAGGCCTGTGGTTTGATATGACAACAATTAGCGTGCATACAATATTAATTAGAAGGGAACGTTATCATACTTGACAGGAACAAAAAACTTGAAGCTGGGGTGTGGGAAGGAAGCAGATAAATTGAAAAACTCTCATATTAGGGTAGGATTTAGTACCATTAAATTTTAATTGGATACATGAAGCTGTGGTTCTAAATATATTAATAGAAATTGAACAGTAGAAATCAGAATGGCTTTGTCCAGCTATTTACACACCTATATAAATTTGTAGGTGAGCCAGACAGTGACTAAATGAAATTCTTATTCAGTGTTTTGAAGATTGAACTGTTAGGGTATTTCTATTGATCTTCATGATGTGAACTACTAAACTGACTTACTCTTTTGCCAGGGGCTAAATATAGACACTAAGTAGAAAGTAGAAGCTAAAACCCTAAGAATTCAACTGTCAAACTGAAAATGAACTGAACATCTGAACAGACTTCTGAACAGACTTCTGTAACCCACAGAGTGAGGAATAATTTCAGTGTACTCTAGACCAAAGTAATTGTACTTTAGATCCTTTAGTGTACTCTAAGGACAAAAGCAAGGACAAATAAAAATTGAAATTACACTTAGCAGTTTTACAGTTAGTATTAATACAGTATCACTATTTTTGGTCTATTTCTTTTATTGGAAAGAAAAATAAATGGGTGATTATGTTAGCTTTGTTATGAATTAGGAGCTTTGGAGTGACAATTATATGAGTCATCTACTAAAAAAAAAGGCACAATTATAGTTTGATATAGGATTAAGAATTTAAATGCCATGGGTGTTAAGTAATATCAGGACTGAATTGAAAATGGCTATGAACTTCTTATGTATATGTATACATGTGTGCGTATGTATTTTTTTTAATCCCTGTCAACTGAAATGGCCCACAGGTCACATCATTCCGGCAGCACAAAACCAAACAAGAACCTCATAGTGCTCACAGTTGGGTCTCTAATATCTGTTTCCCCTGACAGGAATTAGGGCCTAGAAAATTGGCTGATTGCACATCTAGGACAAGGAATGTACAAGATGAGCCTGGGGTATCTTGTTGCCAAAAAGCAAAGACACTTTAAAAATTTTGTGCATTTTTGTCAAAATGCTACATGAGCCAGTAAAAAAAGTTCCTTTGGCTAAACTGTGACATTTTGTTCACCAAAAATACCCTAATGACTACCATTATTGAAACAAATTGTGTCAATGAAAAGTCATTGGTTCATCACAGTATTCTGAGAAAAAAGTTTATGGTATGAAAAGAATATGGCTATAAAAGACTATGTTATTTTGGGATGTCATTTTGATATCTCTAAGTGTTTTGACCCTACCAGACTCGCACGATATGAAAAGAATGCAGAATTCTAAGTTTCGAAAAATTTATGAAAACATTACAATTGGATATGAGAGATCCAATGGAGCAAATTAAGGTGTAGTCAGATGCAAAGACATTTAAATAACATGAGTGAATCAAAAAGGTGCAAAGTCCTCCTGAGGCAGGGAAGGATGTCAGCCTCAAATCTGTGAGTAGGCAGAAGAAATAAGACGTGCTGCTAGTTAAATCTAGGGAACATGGATGTGAGGGAGGAAAGGTGCGATCCGTCTCCCCACCCATCATACGGGTCATACCTGACACTCCTATAACAAAAGACAGGTTAACAAGAGAAAAGCAAAACACATTTATTTAATCCAAGTTTTACTTGACATGGGAGTCTTCGGAAATGAAGACCCTAAGTCCCAGGAAAAATAGTCTATTTTAATGCTTAGTTTCGATGAAGAATGGACAGCCATGTAGAAATGTGACTGGACAGAGGGAATGATCTGACAGTAATAGGGTGAGTGGGAAACCTAGCAAGGACTGTCTGTTCAGATTCTTGGTTTTTCTATGTAGCACGACTCCTCTGGAATGAGGGTCTTCAAGGGAGAAGGGGGAGAATGACCTCTCTAGGTTTTATGAGTTGTTTGGGGGGGAAGGGTTCTAGTTTCTATGACTTTCTTTGCTTTGGGGAAGTAAGAGGGGTGGGAGACAGGAGGGCAGGAGAAGGTCTGAGAGAACTTGCTTCTGAGGCCCTTCCAATGCCCTTCAGTTCAAAGTACTCAACATGTCAAGATATCATACTTTGGGGTATCACGTTCTGAGTCCCTACATGGGCCATGAGACCAAGGGTTTTTGGCGGGGACATCGGGGTGTCTGTTGTACAGACAGTCCATAGGGTCCCATCTGCTGTGGTCGGACACAAACTCTGCATCCTGGGCAGGGGCTTTCCTGACCTCTAGTGGTTCTCTCTGGTAATACCAGGAACTGACAACAATGTCAATGTGTCAAAATTTTAGATGAAATGGTATAACCTTTCTGTGCTGGGATTATATCCATTCCATATGGCAGTAGGGATATTATCTTATACAGACCAGAATCTTTGATTGACAAATGAATTATTACTTCAGTGCAGCTTGGTAGAACAAACCTTCCTAAAGTTGGGTTTGCAAAGAGAAATGTGGTTGTTGGTGGGTGGTTGATGATGATGTTGGAAAAAACTAGCAGGACAACAGGCTGGGATACTAGAAGCCAGGGTTGAGACCTTTATGAGTAAGAGTCTGGACCAAATCACTTACATCATCTTTGCACCCAGTTTTCTTATGAGAGAAATGAGAGCGTGAATGAAATGATTTCTCATTTCTCCCTGATATTCTGAGAACACAAAATGCAGAAGAGTTTAAAAACTGGAATCAATTTCTCAGTCTGGATTCATTTTTTTCCATTGTTAAGTAAAATCCCTTTAACAAATGGGATTATACTTTTAAAAGGAGCAGTTTTAAGAAAACATTACAGCTCAAATTTTAAATCCACCTCCCTACCCCCAAACGCCAAAAAAAAAAAAGCTGGCCGGCTAGCTCAGTTGGTTAGAGCATGGTGCTGATAACCACCAGGACCAAAATTTGATCCCTGCACTGGCCAGCAAAAAAAAATTTAGATCTTATTTTGTACTTAACCTCTGAAGAGAAAGGACTTGGATTAGTCCACCCTTTCCAGCCCCTTTGCAAACAGCTGAGAAAAAAAAAATATTTCTGCTGTATATCTACTGTGAAGCCATTTAATTTTCAAATAATAAGAATGCATTTTTATGGTTAAAATATCAAATTTTAAAAACGTTATTTAATAAATGATTGTCATTTGATAGGGAGAAAGGCGACAAAAGAACTGTAGAAGAAGTGAAAAAGAGACTGTCTTTTTACAGAGAGAACAGATACCACATTGATGCTTGTGCAACTGAAATGCCT